ACACACACACTTCTACTGCTTTGTTCCCATAAAGGTTTGGCAAGTCAAGAGTGATCAGGTTAGTGGAGACTTATCTCTGGCCTCCCACTTTGCATTCCCAGGCTTATCTAGACTTCCTCACCTCCTACAAGGGACAAAGCAGGGCTTCTCCCTCCCACACATGCTCTGAAAGTTGTCAAATAGTTTAAGCCAAGGTGTTTGTGGATAGTAAAGGTGCTGTGGCTGATAAGGAAAGTGTTAGCTGATGTCCCTAACACCCGTGGAGAGATCTGCATTTTAGTGGGGGCTTTCTGAGGGTAGGGGGCTTAAGGAGGGAGTCACATGGCAGATAGCTGAAGTTTGGAGGCTGAGTGCCAGGCTGAGTTCAGATGGGACTGAAGTCCCCTCTGTCCACCAGGTGACCCTTTTGTGGCTTTGGTATAAATGCTGAGCTATGACTAGATGGTAATTGGGCCCTCACAAGCCCGCCGGCCCTGCCTCTGGCCTTCTCCCTTCCCCCTTCCTTGCTAGTGTGAAAAGGGGGTGAGGGAGTGTTGATTTCACCCTATTGGGAGACCTAGTATTAGAATTTTGGTTCTTTTTCCCCCCATGTCGGCACATAAGAAACAATTCTCTATAAATATTAACTTGAGGATGTGGCTCAGTTGGAAGAGAGATTACCTGGCAAGCACAAAGCCCTCGGTTCTAGCCCTAGCGCTCTGTACACTTGAGGTGTACGGGCCTGTAATCTCAGCACTCAGGGGGTATAGACAGGAGGATCAGAAGTTCGAGGTCATTCTGCCAGGGTTATGTGAGACTCTGTCTCAAAAAACCAAACCACAGACAAAAACACAGATTTGAAGGAAAAATAAGTTGGGCCGCTAATACCATACACTGCCCTGATGAATATTAATGTCCAAATAGACAAACACACAATGTAGTGCCATAAAATTAAAACTGGTCTTGCATTTGTGTCTTTCTGATATAAGGTCTGTTGCTACATCTCTTTCTCAGGGAGACACAGCAACATCTATCCTTCCTCCTGAGGTCCCAGTGATAACCTGAAGCACAATTCCACCAAAGTACACTCCGGGGAACCCATGAGTTCTTTGGGCGTCCTTACAGAGCACATGTGAGGGGCTACTTCCAAAAGTGAGGATGCTCCCCACCCTTAAACCTGCATCAGAAAAATCTTCACACAGCAGAGATTGTGGCTTTCCCGTAGCCACATTGATGGAGCCTCCCCTCCCTGGTCTGCTCCCCACTCTGTACTCAAGCTGCTTCAGAAGCCATGCGCAGTTAGGACAGAGCTGCATACAGTAGACGGTAGGGCATTAGACATTCAGACGAGGGTCTTGTGAGGGGACGCAAGCAGTCAGCAAGCCAGCTGGGATGTTCTTCTGCAACTGGGCACAGCTGATTCCCAAGATGGTTGCACCAAACTGTACAAGGTCCTAAATGTCTTTTCATGAGAGGGATTTCCTTCTATGTTGACATTCTTATCTTCTGAGATTTTTTTTTTTTGCTCCTTGTTTAGTTCATTCTGTGTTCGACACTTTTTCTAAGTTTGTCACTATTTCTAGCCTTTCTTCTTATTTTTGTTTAGATTCATACGTATGGGTGTTTTGCCTGTGTGTGTGTCTGTGCACCATGTGCACTTCTGGTTCTCACAGTGGTCAGAAGAGGGTGCTGTATCCTTTGGAACTTGAGTCACCATGTGGGTGCCTTGTGGGTGCTGGAAAACAAGTCCAGGTCCTCTGCAAGAGCAACAAGTGCTCTAACCACTGAGTCATGTCTCCAGCCTTCTCCCTGCGTTTTATGTTTATATTTCTGTTTATAATTTGTATCCATACATTACTATTTCCCATAATTTTAACATAACATCTCATTCATATTTCTTTTTAAAGTTTAACATGATCGACATTCAGAACAAGGGAGAGAATTCGTTTGTGCAGAGCTATGCTCCTTGTAGCTAGACAGCATCTAGACCATAGTAGACACTAGTGAGTATGCACTGAGTAAATGTTAAATGTTTATTTGGATGATAGAAAAACACCGCTAGAAACTTAGACGTCACACCTAACACACCATAACAACTGGTAACTTTATCTGCACTCCTAACTTTAAGAAATGCGGATTCGTGAAATCCATGGTGCAGCACGTGGGATTAGGTAGGAGTCAGACCACACTAGGATCAAATTTGCTTTGACCTTGGGATGGTGACTCAGTTGCCACTGGCTGGGGTTTCTGCTCTGGAAAGGGGCTAATGCCAGTGGCTCCTTCACAGGTGGTGTGGGGATTGCAGGACATTGCATGGGATGCAGGTCTGGTAGTAGCTTCAGTGAGTGACTCTTAGATACTAACCTTGGAGTCTGGGATGAACTCCCCCCTCCAGGCGGTGAGATGCAACTCTGCATCCTGAGTATGCCTGGCTTGGGCTTAGATGACAGCTTAGCCAACTCTCTATCCTCAAAATTGTCTCTTAACGTCTGGAGATAACAGTACTTCCACTGACTAGCTTGGCAATTGGCTAACTTGAATACCCTTTCTGAATGTAAGTGTTTTCTCTATAGGTTGCTACGTGTGAAAGATACCTACAAGGCTCTGTGCGACTCAGGCATCATGGCTGTTGATGAGCTTTGCCACGTCCTCAGAGCCTCCTCGTTCATCACTCATGGATATGGATGCTTGGTTGAGGGTTCTTTGCAAAGCTTTCCCTTAGAAGTTTTAATTTTATTTATTTTACAATTATTTTAGTTTGTGCACACACAGTGCCCATGTGCAGAGGTCAAAGGACACTTTTGGGAATCTGTTCACTTTTTTTTACCATGTGTGTTCTGGAGGTCCAGTTCAAGCGATCACGCTTGGCAGCCATGTCACTGGACTATCTCACCTTATATATTTTCAATCACCCAGTTTCCATTCCACCTATGGCCACCTTGGGCCTTCTTTGCTGATTTCATTAGGGGCCTGGTGTTTTGATTCATTTTGTCTTCTGCCATTCGGCCATCTCCTTTCCTGGTTTTAAGTCAGGAAAGGGTGCTTGAGGTGTCTCTGGGCTTCTAAAGTTCCACACTTTAAAATTCTGCCTTCTTTTATTTTCCCACTTGAAAGTTCCTTTTTGTTAGCAGCTTGTTTTCTGGACAGTCTGCAGACTACACCACACTCATGGGGAATGCAGCTCATGACCTTGGTAGGCATCAGCAGTGCTAGAAATGTCCATATGAGGAGGCCTCCATCCTGCTTCTGAATGAGTACAGAGTTCAAATGTCTGTTTGGAATTGATAGCATGGGAACACACTCACACACCCTCATGAAGGGTCATCTTATACCTCTCTACTCCCTGGGGAGTTGCTATGTGCTGGGCACCAGGGCCACTGAGAACAACAGACTCACACAACCACAGAGATGGAGTTAAAGCTAAGGAGGGCAGCTAGTCCCTGTAGAACCCAAATTCTAATAGCAATGAGAGTTAAGAGTGAGGTCTTTGGGGGGTAATTGGGATTAGACGGTGTCACAAGGGTGGGACACTATGAGGGCATCTGTGGCTTCTAAGGGGAAGACAGCCAGGGGAGCACTCTCGCAACTCACCATGTGATGCCCTCCACCTTGTCCTGATGCAGCAAGGAGACCCTCACCAGATGCTGAGGATGCCAGCATCATGCTCCTGGACTTCCTCACCTCCCAACTTTAAGCCAAATAAGCTTCTCCATAGATTACCTGGTATCAGCTAGTCAGTTTTCTCAATGAAAATGGATTACAATGCATAGTTCCAATCAATGTCTAAATTCTAGAGGTTTTTATCAATGAAAAATCAAAATAGATGTTCACATATCACTCCTTGCCATTTTTATTGTAGGGAGCCCAGTTCAGGCTATTACAACCCTTAGACGGTTCGAAGTTTCTAGCTGGATGTTTTGTTTCTAGTCCTTTGCCAAAAAGATTACTCACACACATTGCTACCAAATAAAAAACAAAATTTGTTTTTTAAAGACAAGGTCTTACTATGTGACCCTGGCTGGCAGGGAGTTTTCCACACGGACCAGGCTGACTTTCAACTCACAGAGATCCCCCTGTCTCTGACTCCCAAGTGCTGCTATTATAGATATGTGTCATCACACATGGCCAGATGATTGCTAAAATGCAGTTGACTGTGGATTCACCGATGGAGCCCGCACTCTGGCTTTCAAGTGCCTTTATAACTTGACTTCTCTTCTTTGGAGCCCCATACACTGTAGTCTCCTAAACCTTTACTTGACGTGATCTTCAGTGCCCAGTGCCTTTTCATCTGCCGGTCTTGATTCTAATAGGAATATGCTAATCTACTCGTTACCCTCCCACACTTTACTTAAATATACTCTCTTCTTGGTAGGCTCCCTGACCCCTTTACTGGCTGTCAATCTTACTCAGCATCTGTTCTTCTGTAGCCCTTCCCACAGTCTTAGGCACTCTAGGTGAAGCATTTTGGTGTCTTATTCTCCTTTGTTGTAATTCCTCTCTCTCTCTCTCTCTCTCTCTCTCTCTCTCTCTCTCTCTCTCTCTCTCTCTCTCTCTCTCTCTCTCTCACACACACACACACACACACAGGTGAATGTTTAGTCTAACCGGATTTTAGAGTGTTCAACTATACACATTAAATTCCTTTTCCAAAAAGACTTCACTAGGCTGAGCGTGACTTGGCAATGTGAACAAATGCTGCAGAGAAACGCGAAGGTGACAAGTTTCCTCCCAGCCCACCGGAGCCCACTACTTGCACATACATCGGTGTCTCACCCGCCATGCATACAGGGTTTTGAGCTGTCTCTCCATCTTTCCCTCCCAAGGGTCCTCTTCCTCCTTAACCCTGGCGGTTTTTCAACTTTTCCTTCTTGCTCAGATTCTCCTCTCTGCTTCTTTTCCATCTGCCTTTCTCCCTTTGCTTGACCCTCCCCATCACCATCCCGTGCTATAAAAGATTTGGAGTTTGGGGTTGGGCTGAGGAGAGGCAGCGGAGAATCAGAACACATCTGGCTGGAGGAAGACTAAGTCCCTGGGCCAAGCTGCAGTACCGCATGGCATCCTCTTCCCAGAGTGGCACCGAGCTTCTGGCTTCTGAGAATGCAGCCATCCCCCTGCCTTCCTCCTTGGTTGTGAACTGCGTACAGGTATGCTACAGCCCACTCTGTCCTGTGTGCTTGTGACTCTTAACCCGGAGGGCTGCAAAGTACTTGCTTTTCCCATAAACAGAAGCAACGGCTGAGAGCCAGGGATTCTGCCTCCTGGAACAGCCAGCTGCCTCCTCTCCCTCTGGCTTCTCACCCCCTGAGGCCACTGTTCCACCAGATGGTTCGCTCTCATATGATGGTGGCCCCCACCCCAGGAGGTGCCATTTTAGTTCTCAACCTGTTTCTCTCAGAAGAGAGCTTTTCTGGAGTACAATTTTTGGACAGCATAAATGTTTTAGGTCTGATCATCCCACATTCCTTATCCTGTCCATCCGCATCCATCAATGGACTCCCTTGTCTTTAATAGCAGTCTCTCTATAAAGATGCCTTGTTTCTTCCTTTTTTCCCTCTGTATTTACCTTCTTTTGTATTTTTTAATTTATATGTATATATACTTATTATTTTTTCTTATTTTACATATCGATCCCAGTTCCCTCTCCCTCCCATGACCCCCAACGGTCCTCCCATATCACCCAATCCTCCACTCTAAAGGGAGGGTGATGTCTTCCAGGAGGGATCATCAAAACCTGTCAAGTCATTTGGAGTAGGGACTAGGTCCTCCCTCCTACCTCTAGGCTAAGGGAGTAACCCTCCATGGGGAATGTGCTCCCAGAGTCCTTTTGTGTCAGAGGTCCCTCAGACTACCCAGTCCTTCTAGCAGAGACCCATATTCAGGGGTCTGAGTCAGTCCCATGCTGGATTCCCAGTTATCAGTCTGGGGTCCATGAGCTCTCCCTTGTTCAGGTCAGCTGTCTCTGTGGGTTTCTGTAGCCTGATCTTGACCCCATTTTCTTATTACTCCTCCCTCTCTGAACTTGAAGAAACCATCCTGAATGAGGTAACCTAGTCACAAAAAAGAGGAACATGGTATATACTCACTCATATATGGATTTTAGACTTAGAGCAAAGGATCACCACCAAGAAACTAGGATACAATGAGGAACCTAAGAGGTTCATACAAGGTCCTTCACAGAAGGGAAAAGCAACAAGATCATATTGGGAGGGGGCAGTGGGTAGAGAGGGAGCTAGGAGAAAGAGAAGGGGAGGAGAGAACATGTGGGACTAGGAAGATTGAGTCGGGGGGAGAGACCATAATAGAGGGAGCCATTGTGGATTATAGGTTTGAGGAGAAAAGTGATTCTAGAGAAATGTCCAGAGACCTACAAGGATGACCCCAAGAAACAATATGAGCAACAGTGGAAAGGCTACCTTAAACGCCTTTCCCTGATAATGAGATTGATAACTAACTTGTATGCCATCTTAGAGCTCTCATCTAGTAGCTGATGGAAACAGAAGCAGACACAGCTAAACACTGAGCTGAATTGGAATCCAGTTGCAGAGAGGGAGGAAATGATGTTATTGCTTTTAGGCTCACCAGAAACTAACTTCTCCTTCGATATTCCTCTTGCCCAGTTTAGCCAAAATCACTCTTGTGTTTAGAAATCACTGCCTTGGGTGCAGAGATGGCTCCATGGGTGAGTGCATAGCCAGTGCTTGTCCATTCATGATTCCAGGGTCTCTGGAAGCCCAGGACTCTCAGACAACCAAGTTTGGGACTTGTGAAATTGAGCTCTGTTTCTGGTGCGAGCTTTCTTCCAGGTCTAACAGAATACGTCTCAGAGTATTTTAAATGAGCATGAGGGCTGGGAAGAAGGCTCAGTGGGTGATGTGCTTGCTGTGCAAACCTGAGCACCTGAGCTTAGAGCCCCAACACCTACATTAAAGTCAGAGGCAATGACGCAAGTGTGTGTAATCCCAGAGTGCAAACGTGAAATGGGAAGCAGAAGCAGGAGACTCTGGGAGCTGAAGGGACCAGCTATCCTGATGGATGAAGTGGCAAAGACACCCTTTTTCAAACAGCGTGGAAGGCTGATCAACACTCTGACTTCACATGTGTGCCTGGGACTCAAATTCATGAGAACTAATCATGGTTGAATTTAGTTTTCTTGTGAATATAAATGTCTAGAGGTCTTGCTTTCTGGGCTGAGCTCTGTGTACAATGTCAGTAACACTCAAGACCCTGGGGACTTCCAGCTAGTTCAATGGCAATCTTCCAAACCCAGTCAATCGGCCTTAGCCTCTCTCCATATGGATGAATCACACAAACAAAATGTTGTATGAAGAACCCTGCCCAGTCCTAAATATGGTAGGATTACTCCTTTACTTATTTATTTTTAAAGTTTAAATACCAAAAAAGATACCAGGTGCAATTAATATCTCAGAAAGATATTAATTGACATTGAAGCACACCATAGGACAAGGGCTGCTAGTTATCTGCCTTGACCATTATGTATTTACTCTGTGGGATTATACAAGGCTCTATGTGCTTTTCTGTATGTGTGTGTTAGATTTAAGAAAAAGTTGTATGATTTCTTTTAAAGGTTGTTTATTGAGATTCTGGCTGCTATGCTTGAGGAAGGATAGAGGTAAGAACATTGTGGTATGACAGCCATAGTATGAGGACCTGGGTTTGATTTACCCACTGAAAAGAGCAGAAACAAAATATTCTCCATAACCAAATCAAAGCAATAGCAACTACTACAACAACAAAAGCCCCTACATTACTTGGGGTAATTTCTCCAAAAACTGAAGGTGCAAGTACCCCCAACAAATGAATGCCGAGGATAAAGACTTAGAATCTGGCAATCAGGAAAAATACAGAGAGAACTTAAGATGCTCTAGGCATTACACTAGCCATTTCTCATGCCCTTGAATAATGTAATCTGAATATTTAAGAACAAGATGAACTGGATACTTCCACTGGAAAGACTAAAGAGAGGGAAAGTTCTGTTCTACTGTGTCCAGCACAGGCAGCGGCTCCACAGTTGGCCTGATGAGTGGATGCTTCAAGCCTGGTCTCCTAGTCTTTGGGGAGGTGAGGATGCTCTGGGCAGTCAAGGATTCAGCTCTTGGTACAGGGCGGAGTGTCTGTTGGAAGAAGATTGGCTAGCAGAGGGTCCTGCCAGAGCTCCCTAGGTAGTTGTTTCTGTGACTTGGTCTAAATGCATCCTCAGGGTCTGCTTGATGTCTAACCCTCATCTAAATGACACCTCCCCACATCCCTGCCCAGAGAAAGTGTGGCTAGTTATATGCAATGACCTTTCTGGAACAAAAGCCCCTCTGCAAAAGAGATTTCACATTATTCTTGCAATTCTGCACCCAAATTTTCTCACACAGCTTCCAGTTTCGCTAACTAGAAATTGCTTGGAGTTAACTGTACTCCTGTCTTAAAATTACAAGTATTCATGCAGGGTGACTAATATCAGCACTTCTATATCACCTTAAAAATATCTTTCTGAGATCAGTAAATTAAGAAAATAGGGAGGAGGAGGGAGCAGTTCACGGGGAGTTCATCTCCGAGCTTGGGGCATTCGGGAAGGGCAGGAATGAAATGAGGTAACAATGTAGGGAGTCTTGGGAAGGTAAGAGCTCTCATGAAATCATAGGATTCATATCAGACAGGGAAAGGAAGGCATCAAGAAATAGGGCAAGGCGGAGAGCATTGTGTCAGATAGCCACAGATGAATTTTGCTATTTTCCGTTAGGCTACACTTTTGTGTGTGTGTGTGTGTGTGTGTGTGTGTGTGTGTGTGTGTGTGTGTGTGTATTTTGGTTTCAAGGTGGGTAATTGGGAGCTCCTGGACTCTTAGGGTTCTGGGAATAATTACAGGTGATTTATCATGTTATTGTAGCTCCCAGCTTATGCTGCCAACAGGAGAAGCAGTGTGGGTTCAGGATTCACTCTGCCAGACTAATCTTCATAAAGCAACAGGAGCCCACTCAGAACCAGTTATGGCAGAATGAACTCATTTCCTTCGTCTGGGGGGTTACTAGGATGGGGGAATGCAGCAGGGCAGAGACCATGAGCCCAGGACAGTCGAGCAGATTGGTAATTGGTTGAGCAACCCCGTGCAAATGCTGATGATTAATGAATCTGTGTCAACTTAAAGGGAGGCCTCTAGGCATTTGCTGCAGGTCGCAGTCAACGTTTTTTATTAATGGCTTGGATGGGTTCGCAGAACCAGCTGATCAAATTTGCAGAAAGGGTTAGAGGCTATGTTGGATGACAAGACCAGGATTTAGAAAGATCTTGGCAGACTGAAGTGATGTCCCAGATATTACAAGATGGGATTTAGTAGGGATAAACGTGAGATCTTGCATTTAGCCCTCTAGCACCAGCTGCATGTATATGAATGTGTAGAGGCTTGGAACCACATGAATGCAGAAGGGTGATATGCTACTGCCAGCAATGGGCCTCTCAGGCTGAGCATACCTGAAGAGTATGGCTCATTCCGGCACTGTGCCCAAAGAGCAGTGGACAAATGGACCGTGCTCCCGGCAGCAGGCCAGACCATGAGCGTCTAAAGCCACCCTGTAGGAAGAGTGACTGCTGGAAGATACTTAGCTGGAGCCCAGAGGCTTGGAAGTCACACCACCCATGTTTTACTATTTTCAGGCTGGTTAAGGAGAAGGCAAATTGGGTGTATCCAACAGTCTCAAGCTCAAATCCCAACAACCAGGGAGGCAGAGATACACAATGGTAAGAGTATAATTTTAGGAACTAGGCATTGTTTAGAATCTCAAAAATGCTGCTTAATAATGGCACTTTGGGTAAGTTTTTCCCTCTCATTTTCATTAAGACAGAAACACCAAGGTACCTAGCATATGGGACCCGACAGCTGATAGCTATTTTTATAGTGTTTTTGCTATAGTTGATTAAGAGTTGAATGAATGAACAAGTAGGAGCTTGACCTATGGGCCAGATATAAAGTTATCCATAATCTTAAAAGTCGTTTTTTTTAAATTAACACCAAGCTGTAAAGTCTGAGCTAATAATCTTCCATATATCCTTATGAGCACAATTTAATATGACATAGGGATATTATATGAAGATTCTATAATAAATATCAGAGACCATTTCAAGATATTGACATGAGAAA